TTTCAGTTTTCTCATGTCATGTTTTTTTACAGTTTTTCCGCGTATTTTCTTTAACTTAGTTCTATACACGCCCACTAAAGGATTGTGGTGAGATTGAATATCAGCGCCTGGGTAGGTTTTAACACTGTTGAAACTATCATTATAGTTATAACCAACTAATCATTAGTTTAACACATTATTTTTAAAACTTGTTTGCCTCCTATTACTTTTTCGAAAAACTAGCTTTGTGCTAGTGGGCCATAAAATTACAATTAGTTTCTACGGATACAAAAATTACAAACAGTTTCATTAATAATAGTCAATAATTTAAAGCTATCATTTATTGTGTGAATAGGAAAAATATTAAAAATTTTGATATTAATCTATTTTTGATAAATGGCAGATATGCATTTAACTTTGGGTAAGTTGGATCAGATTAAATTATGATTTCAATAAAATTTCGGGAATATCGTAGGTTAATGTCGAAGAAATAGTGCAGTAGCCGCAAGGAGTTATGCAGTAAAATACCCCAATCAAAATACACCTGATGGACTATTATCTCTGACCATTGATAGTAGGTTATGGGAAACGGGTACATTCCAACCGCAAGTTGCTGACAATAGTGGTCGTCCAATAATGGATGCAACTGATGAAAACATTTTAGAAATGTCCATTGAACAAGTACAAGGGTAACAGCTGCTCAACTAAATGTTCCTCACGTAAGGGGTTGGAGGCGTTTGAAGGATCAGCTGCTTAAACCCTATCACTTAACAACGGTTCAAGAGTTATTCATTGAAGATTATCCTAAAAGGATTGGATTTTGCGATTGGTTATTAATGGAAAACACTGGAAATGGTATTAATATTAGAAATATTTTGTTTACTGACGAGGCTACTTCTAGTCTTCTTCTTAAGGTGCCGTGCATTTCTGCGTAGGCGTCCACCGTACATCGTCTTGTAAGGTGAAATGTTTAATATTCAGGATTAAATAATTCTGTTTTTAGCAGCATTGCGAAGCATTTCATAGTTGTGGATTCCTATCCATTGTCACATTACTCTGGTAAACCTATGTCATAGTCATATCTAGACGCACCATTGAACGTCAAGCTTATGCATCAGCTTTTTAAAGAAAACACCAAGATTCCTCTATAAAGTATTATTATTACCTAAAATATTTTAAGGAACACTTTACCTAACGGTTTGACGGACGACCTCAGGTAGATACATGTTGTGAGTGTGAGGAACTTAAAGCTAAGATAAAAGTCCTTCACTTGGTAAAGGGTCTCAACGAAGTGTGTTCTTTCGTACTGAATTATATAAAAAACTATGTTCCAGATAATATTGAAGAACTTGTTTTATTTTGTGACAATTGCTCTGGGCAAAATAAAAACAATACTGTAATCAGAATGTACATGACATTAGTTAAAACAATATTTAAGAAAGTTGAACAGATTTAACTCACTAGAGGGTACTCGTTTTTGCCTTGCAATAGGGATTTTGGCAGTGTCAAAAAACTTTTGAAGCGCTTCGACGGAATTTTTTCTGTACACGAGTTTACTAAATTGATAATTACGTCAAGTGTGAGTAGAAAATTTACTGTAATGGAAGTAAAAAATTCTTACATTTTGGATTTTAAGTGACACTTTCAGATGGCGAACACAAGTAATCTTTTATTTTGATCAGTATTTTGGAAAAGAGGCAACAAGTGAATGGTCAGTTGTTTGAAAAATTTTTAACGCAGACAGAAACTGTACCAGAAAAATGTGCTATTCATAAATTTTTCGAGTCCATTGCTGATACTGTTTCAAACTTTACACCACATATTATTGCTGAAACTAGGTTACAAGTTTGTAAAATAGTAACAGAGATGGAACTGAAAATTCATAACAAACAGTGGCTGTTTTTGTGATAGTCGAAAATATTGTATGAATTTTTCATTATCACATTTAAGATGCGTATGAATTAATTTACTAAATGTCCTTTCACTCTATTTATTTTTAAATATATTGTGAGTCTGTCTTCTTTTCTTTAAATTTCTAATTATTAGTTCAATATCTTCCTCTTCTTCAAGTAACAGTTTCATCAACATTTTTTCATTATCATTTTTGTATTTTTAATCTAACCTAATAATCGACGTCTATACCTATTGATATCTACCAGCAAACTGACTAATTCTAGAGAAACCATTAAACCGTTACCGACGACGTCTGGACGTTAGCCGCAACGTCCAAACGTCGACCGCCGCGGCTGACGTCTGTTCAGAGAAACCAGCGCCTTACAGTTTCAACTTGAAGCCTTTTCATGATGCCTTTAAACCTGGCTATCTTAGTACTTTTCTCTACATTAATACCCCTTTTTAAGGCTAACACTTTTCACCTTAAAATGGCCAATGCTGGTACCGTAAGATGGCTGTCAAATAAGGCATATAAGAGCAAGATTCCAATTAAAGAAACCAAAATAGATGATATTAAACGGGCGTTAAAATATATTCCAGAAAACCACGAACCCTTTTATAACGGCATTATTAAGTGGCCAACTACAAAATAAACAGAAATAAGTTATACCCTTCCATTTTCATTGGGTATTAGCTTCTTCTTCTTCTAGTTCCTATCCGTTTCGGATGTTGGAAATCATATTGGCAATCATTACCTTGCTCGCTGCGGCTCGAAACAGCTCCGTTGAGGTTTTCTTAAACCATGTTCTTAAATTCCGCAGCCATGATATTCTCCTTCTACCGGGTCTTCGCTTACCTTTGACTTTACCTTGCAATATAGACTGTAGCAGGGAGTGACGGTGCTGATTTTTCATAATGTGTCCCAGATATTGCAATTTTACGCGTTTGATCGTAAACACAATCTCTGGTTCCTTCTTCATTTTTCCTAGAACTTCCTTGTTCGTGATTCTTTCTGTCCATGATATTCTCAGCATTCATATATAAAGCCACATCTCAAATGCTTCAAGTTTTTTAATAGTGGTGTCTGTAAGCGTCCATGCCTCCGACCCGTACAACAACACAGAGAAAACATAGTCTCATTTTTGTATCAAGGGATATGTTGTGACTTTTGAAGATGGCGCTCATTTTGTTAAAGACCCTTCTTGCCTTTCCTATGCGGCACTTTATTTCCTGTACATTGCTCCACTGTTCATTTATAATAGTTCCCAGGTAGCAATACTTTTTTACTCGCTCTATCTGCGTCCCATTAATGTATAGATGAGCCCCGTTTATATTCTCCTTGCTGATAATCATTTGTTTCGTTTTGTGGGTATTAATGTTTAGTCCGTACTGTTGACTGTACTCGTTTATTCTGTCCATTAGCCTCTGAAGTCCCTCTAAACTATCTGCTATCACCATGGTGTCGTCGGCATATCTAATATTGTTTACTCTTTTACCATTTCGAAGGATGCCTTCGTCTATTCCGTAAAGAGCCTCGTTAAAAATTTTCTCTGAGTACATATTAACTATCAACGGCTATAGGATACATCCCTGAATAACTCCACGTAGTATTTTTATGTGAGCTGTTTCTTCTTCGGTAATTTCCATGTATGCGGTCTGATTCCAGTAGAGTTCTGAAATTATTCTGAGGTCTTTGTCATCCAGGTCTGCCTCTCTTAAAATATTTGTCATCTTTTGATGTTAAACTCTGTCAAATGCCTTTTCATAGTCGACCAAGCACGTCGCAGTTAACGTCCCTGCATCTTTGAATCAGTACCTGTACTCCGAAAAGTGCCTCTTTGGTACCCACTGCGTTAATGGAGCCGGACTGGCTGTTTAATATTTGTTCCCCGTACTTCTTATAAATTCTTCCATGGATGACTCTAAGAAACAGTTTCAACATGTGGCTCATTAGGCTGATTGTTCAATATTCTTCGCACTTTTTAGCCCCCTGTTTTTTAGGTATCGCTATGAATTCTGATTCTAGCCATTTATCAGGGATGATTCCTGTATTGTATATTTTATTGAAGACAGCCGGGATCCAATTTATTCCTTCTTCCTCCAAGAATTTTAAAAATTCAGCTTCGATATTATCAGGCCCTACAGCTTTCCCGCTTTTCATCCGTTTTATTGCTTCTTCTACCTCGGATTTAAGTATGTTCGGGCCCGTCATCCTCTCTGAAAATGGATGTCTATAATCCGTTCTTTGATCTTGAAAAAGTGTCTGCAAATATATTCTCCATTTGTCTTTCATCTCTCGGGTGTCAATGATTAATTTTCCATTGGTGTCTATGAGTTTCATTTGTGTTCGCTTTTTAAAAGTATCCGTTATTTCTTTTACCTTTTTGTTTACATTAAAATTGTCATGCTTGGCTTGTAGTCTTTCTATTTCTTTACATTTCTCTACAGCTTCTTTTTCTTTAGCTTCTCTTATTTTTCTTCTGATGTAAGCTTGCATTTTTTTAAACTCATCTTTATTTCCTTTTATTAACCTTCTGCGTTTCATTAAGTGAAGGATTTCCGGAGTCATCCAAGATTTCTTCTTTGTTTCTTTGTTTGGTTTTAGCAGATCTAGTTTAGTTTTCTTAATTATTTCTTCGAATTGATTTATTTCTCGTTGGATGTTTTTTTCTTCTTTTAGTTGTTTAACTTGGTTGTTAATATATTCCCCCAGCTAACTAAAGATTACTAGCTAACTAAATATTATTTCTTGAAAAAAAAGTTTTAACGTTCTGTAAGTTGTTGAAAGGGGCTAAGTGATGTACAAAAATTAGAATTATTCAAAAACAAAAAGAGAAAATGACCTTGTTTTACTATAATATAACTACTTATCAATATTTGATTGAGTTTATTCAAAAATAAATAATCAAAAAGAAGTTAATCTAGCTTAGAACGTTTTTTGCGTTTTTCTCAAAACTTTTAAAATGTCGCTTGCCTCCTTTCAACAATAATCGATTCAATTAGGGAAGCAGGAATTCAACAATTTAGAATTTCGTATTGAGTTTCTTATGGCCCGTTTGGCGATTCGCCACCCGATATATGGAGCTATAAGAAAAAAAGAGCTACATATAAATAATAACACAGTAGTTGCTAGATCATCTTTATTTATTAGGAAATTTTAAAAAAATAATAGGGGATTTTTATCACATTTACATGAATCGAGTTTACCATATTTGGACTTAATCTCATCAGATATTTTTTCCGCTATCATATAAACAACGGCAGTAACATGAGCTTGTGGTATTTCTGGCATAACTCCGGCATCGACGACTCGAAGGTTTCTAATGTTATGTACGACACAATCTTTATCTACCACAGAATCAGTGGTGTGTCGTCCCATTCTGGTTGTTCCTGCTGTGTGATATTCTGTAGAGGTCATCTGCCTTAAAGCGCAATACCAATATTCTTTATCGCCCTTATTTTTGTACTGCTCACAATTTGGTTGAGTACTAACCAAAGTGGCATTGACGCTTTTGAAAGCTTTAGTATTAAGAAGACTTAATGCATATTGAATACCTTTGTACATATTTGCTATATCTTCTCCCTTCGTATCGGAGAAGTAATTTAAATCTATAAGAGGAAAATCTACAATATTGCTTGATTTGAGTGTCACCTGACCTCTAGATTTAACTTTTAGTAATGACACCAAGATCGAAACATCTGTAAGTGGGTCATAATTTTTGTAAACAGCACTATTTGTGTCGTCAAAGTTAAACGCAAATTTGGGATTTGGAGGAACACTGGAAGGTGGGGCAAAGGTAAAGAGTTCGATATTTGGATCACCAAATAAAACTGTATTGGAGTTAATGAAGGCTAGTTGTTCTAACCCAGCACCGTTTGTCAGAGGAGTTAGATTTTGCAAATACAGTGCCAATTTTTCTTTTAAAGTAGTGCTTGCTGCTGTTTGGTTGGTCCTGAAATATAAATTAACAAACATCGGATGATCTTGTAGATTTTTACCTACTTGCGGTAAGTCAACTTTTACTGGAATTCCTAAATTCTCTAACTCCTTTTTGGGACCAATACCGGAAACCATCAAAAGTTGTGGGGAATTAATAGCACCTGCTGACAATATGGTTTCTAGACGGGCTCTCACTTTGTGTAAAGTTCCATTTTTAACAAAAGTTACAAACTTTACATCACCTCCCTCAACCTCAATTTTATTTACTGCTGCATTTAGAACAATATCTAAATTTGTCCTGTCCTTAACAGTATCTAAAAATGCGCGTTCACTATTTTGTTTTATATTTTCCTTTATATTAAATTGTATTCTTGATACTCCTATTTCTTGTCGTCCGTTATAATCTACGTCCCTTAGACCTTTTTCTAAGTTTGCTCTCAAGAAAGCTTCTGCAACTACAGAAGGAGGTGCTGTTTGGTTGACGTACAAATAGCCAGATGATCCGTGATAACCAGCGTCGTATTTCTTTAAAGCATTAAATTCTGATTTTTTAAAATATGGTAGAACATCATTATAAGACCAACCAGAATTTCCCATCGCTGCCCAAAGGTTGTAATCAGATCGTGGTCCTCTGGAATAAACGCCTCCATTTATTGTTGTTGTGCCTCCAATTACTTTTCCTCGGGGGTAGATGCATTGTTTGTTAATCATACCTATAAAATAAAAATATAATTAATTCACTATTTTTATTAGGAATAAGCCACAATTTAAGTTTCGTTTTCTACATCGAAAATCGATTTAAAAATACAAAACAATAATGTTTTTATTCAAGACAGAATATTAAGGCATCAAAAGAAGAAACTATCAACAGAAAAAAAAATATTGCATAAGATATTTATTAATGTTATCCAGATTTAGCTTGCACTCCATCTAAAAGGAAAATTCACTCATCCCAGATATCGATAGTATCAAAAGGATTGAGCTCTGGTGGGTCTCTTTCTGTATTATCGAGGCCCTAGGTGACTTGGTATGTCAGGGTATCTTCCAAAAACTTTCTTACGCATTTAGGTGTTAAGAGCAGTACTGCTTATTATTCTTCTTTTTCTTCAACCTCTTCTTCCTTTTTGTATATACGCTTTAAAGCTTGTTTCTTCTTCAGTATTATCCTCCTAAATTGTTTAAAATATTGCATCATCTTTTTCTTGGTCTGCCAATACTTCTCCGTCCATTTGGTGACTTATCTCGTGCTATTCGTACTATTCTATCCTCTACTATTCTACTAATGTGTTCGTTCCACTCCTGTTTCCGTTCAGTCGCCCATTAATTAGGTCTTATTGGTATTATTAGTATATATTGCATGCTAAAACTGCCAGGGGTGATTGTGGTTTGAATTGAGTAGCTCTGCAGCTACCACAGCCGGTCTCAAGCCTGGATAAAATGTGAAGGGTGATTGGCAAAGTTAGCAACCTACCAATCATAAAAACAAATACTGCTCAAAGAAACAATGTAGAGCCTTGGAACCAGATTGATACTATGACGACGACTACGGCAAGAAATAAGGACAAGTGAAAAACATCCAAAACCCAGATGATAATTACTACTTGGAATATCATATCACTCAACTCAAGAGACCCTAGTGCTGAAAAAAAAAAGAAATAGACATTTATCTATTTCTCTACAGGAAACAAAAAAGAAAGGAAAAGGTCAATCAAAATTAGGTTAAGAATATAATAATCTACAGTGGAGTAGCAAAAGAAAATAGCGCCAAAGAAGGTGTAGCCTTACTAATACACCAAAGGTACCAAACTCACATCAAAGGTTATGAATATATATCAGAAAGAATAGTAACAGCAAAGATAAGAATAGAGAAGGAAGACCTGAACATCATCGGAGTATACGACCCAAAAAATAACAAGCCTCAAACAACAAGGGAAGGGTTTTACGACCAATTACAACAAGTAGTAGATCAAGTCAGAGGAAAGATGGTAATATTAGAGATTTTAACGCCCGAATAGGCAACTAAGTAATACCTGGCATCAAACAAAAATATAACGAGAATGTTAAGAACGAAAATGGAAAACTGATGATCAACTTCTGCACGAATAACGAACTAAGAATAAACAACACATTTTTTGACCACAAAGACCAACACAAATTTACATTTAACCCTTAACCACTGACATGCGGTATACCATACCGAGTCGAAGATATATTTTGTTGTAAAACGTGTTTTATAAAAGATTCTTAGAACACCATCTGTGTACCTTCAAGTGGGGTTTAATTGTACTTGCTTTCAACTGCTGCAGTTTTAGTACACGTTTAGTCTTTGAGCTACGTTGATATAAATTTTTCTTGCAGTATCAAGTACCGCACGTCAGTATTTACGTTTCTATAGTTAAAAGCAGTGTAGTGTATTCTTTTGCTGTTAGTATGGCAGCAAGTTCATACAGTTGTTCTAAATTTACCCGCAAAACTGTAAAGCTTTCAGATGATGATTTTGAGGCTGTTTTATCTCAATGGGCTGACGAAGTACCTAGTGATTTAGAATATTTTAGTGATAGTGATGTTGACGATGCAAGCGAAGAAGCATGTATTGAAAGTTCACAAGACACGAGAAGTGAGCAGTCGGAAAGTTCTGAAATCACAAAAATCGTTTTAAGTGGTCTACTACAGCACCCTCGAAAAATGTAAGAACTCCGTTACACAACCTTGTAACAAAAGTACCAGCTGTGCGGCCCAGAGATGTAAGAAATGAAACTTCATCATTTTTTTTTATTTTCTTATTTCTGAGGATATAATACAAGAAATACGTAAATGGACAAATAATAAATTACGTGCAATTCGTGAAAATTATAAAAGAATGAATAGACCAGAACTAAATGAAATTGATGAAAAAGAACTAAAAGCCTTTTTGGGATTGCTTTTATACTCAGCTTTCAGATCCAATGACGAAGGTATAAATTCTATATTTGCTACAGATTGCACTGGTAGAGATACATTCAGATGTGTTATGTCAAAAGAAAGATTTGCAATATTTCTAAAATGTTTACGTTTTGATAACCATCTGGATAGAGAAGAAAGAACAAAGATAGATCCAACAGCAGCCGTTAGTAACATATTTAATATATTCATATCAAATTGTCAAAATCTGTATTCCGTAGGCACATGTGTTTGTATTGATGAAATGCTGGTCGGCTTTAGGGAAAGATGTAGGTTTAAAATGTATATGCCTAATAAGCCTGTGAAATATGGCATTAAAATAATGTGCCTGACTGATGCACGAACAAGTTACTTATACAAAGCCTATATATACACATGGAGGCAAGGACAGTGACGGAACTGGGTTATCTGAAGAAGAAAAGAAGATGAATAAACCAACTCAATCTGTTCTTCGGCTTGCTAAACCTATTTATGGAACTAACCGTAATATCACAGCTGATATTTGGTTTAGTTCTATAAAATTAGTAAAGCAGTTAGAAGTAAAGAAATTAGCGTATGTGGAAACCCCTTAAGAAAAATAAACGGGAAATCCCTCCAGAATTCCAGCCATACCGATGTAGGCAAGTAAATTCAACTACTTACGGATTTACGAAAACTTTATCCCTAATTTCCCATGTGCCAAAAAAATCGAGGGCTGTTTTACTTATTTCTTCGATGTACCATTCAATAGGCATGGATCAGATTACTGGAAAACCAGAAATTATGAAGGTGTCGATACTTTAGATGCCAAGTGTGCCAAATATTCTGTAAAACGTCGTTCTCGCCGATGGCCACTTACTATTTTTTACCGCATCATTGATATAGCTGCTGTTAATTCGCATGTTGTGTACTAATCACTACAAGAAGATAATATGGAAAGGCTAAACTGCACAAAGGAGTTGGCGAAACAATTAGTTTTACCTCATCTACAAAGAAGACTCGAAAATCCCAGAATCCCGAGAGAATTATTGTATGGTATTGAACGAATACTAGGACAAAAACGCCAAAAAGAAGCAGATTTTGAAGAAAGGCTTGAGAAAAAGAAGACGTGTTACTTACGCCCAAGTTCATTAAAGCGGAAGACTTTTTTTGTGTGCTTTTCTTCTGGAAAACCAGTGTGCTTACAATGTAAAAAGAAAAATTGAGGACCTTGCGCGCAAAATGACTAGTTATTTTATTGTAATTTTTGGTTATTGTCAGAATTTTGTATTTTAGTTTCTTATTAAATTTAAGTCATTAGTCTGTTTCTTTTAACACTATTTTACCATTTGTTAGTCACAAGTAATCAATTTTTCTTGTAATTTAGTTTATAAACGATTTTGTAGTAACGTCCACCATTTTTTAAAATATTCCATGCATTCATAATATTCTTGAAAAAGTAAAGTTTATTTTACTTGTAGCAGTATATTATGCTACAGCAATATAAAGAATCATTCTGTAGTTGATATAAAAAACAAATACAGTGATATAAGATATATTAAAAACAGAGGAGAATAAGCAACGGTATGACATACCGCATGTCAGAGTCTACGTCCTGAAACATCCACGTCAGTAGTTAAGGGTTAATAACACACGTGGACAAAGATCTATGATAGATTATATTATAACCAACAGAGATATACATCCATCAAAAACAATCGACATAAGATGCTTTAAGAAGGCTTTTAAATAAATTATAAGCGTTTTCGGTATCAGATAATTAAGTTATTAGCCACTTGATCTTTGGAAAATTAAAAATTCCCAGTAAAAGATTATCTGGAGATGATAGTTCTTCAAGTTTTCTAAAAGAAAAGGTTATTGTGTGCAAGTAGTGTAACAGGTGGACGATATACACAAACTAAATTAAGGCAAAAAGGATTTTTGCCTTCATCCATACCGCCACCACAAGATTTTCTCTGTCGTTACGATATATTGTAAATCCATTTAAATTATCGGAGGAGTCAGGAATTGAGAGTTTAACTCAGGATTCGTTAATATAAACAATGCGTGGTTTAAGAAGTTGCACTCTTCATAAAAATTTGTCAAACTTAACGAAAAGTCAATCTAAATTAGTTTATGGAAATAGCCAGTCAATATCGGTAGAAAAATTGTAAACAAAATTTCGTCATTCTGGGAATGCCATTATTGTATTTATTAAGTAAAGCATGTTCACCGTTATTTTTGCAAGTTTACCGTGGTATTCCAAACCTAATATCCCTTTGTCATTTGGAGAAATCGTTGGGTCGCTATGCCGACTCTATACAAGGTGATCTGCGTTTCCTGGCAGCCAACAGTTTTCAACACAAGGATAACTTTATTTGCATCGTAATCTTTTATGTGTTGTGCAAAAAATATTGGGTGCTATCATGTTGATAAATATACTTGCGTCCAGAGGAATAAGTCCTTTAAAATAATTTCTTCTTTTTCAGATGCAAATCCACTAATGGATGTTAGCGATCACATTTTCCATTAATTCTCTATTTCTTGCAATATGTATCAGATATTGTATGTCGTTAATTCCTGTCCATTGCCTTATGTTTTGGAGCCAGGACATTTTCTTGCATCCCATTCCTCTCTTGCCTTCAATTTTACCCTCGATTATAAGTTGGAGAAACTGGTATTTTTCATTTCGCATGATGTGACCTAGATAAGCCGTTTTCCTTTTCTTGATGGTTTCGAAAAGTTGGTTTATTCTTTTAAGGACATCTATATTTGTGATTTTCGCTGTCCATGGTATTTTTAGGATACGGCGGTAAAGCCACATTTTGAAAGCTTCTAATCTGTTTATATCCCTCGTTTTGAGTGTCCAGCCCTCTACGCCATATAGCAGCACTGACCATACGTAGCACTTAGTATACCTTAGTCTCAGTTGAAGATCGAACTCTGAACAAGTCAGTACCTTCTTGAATTTTACGAAAGATTGTCGAACTTGCTCAATGCGACATTTTACTTCCCTGTCTGATGCGCAGTCTTCAAAAAGCCACGATCCCAGGTATTTAAATTTACTCACTCTTTCAATGGACTTAGTATTCAGTGTTATGGTGGAGTTTTCAAGTGCATCCAAGTTTCTGGATATGATCATGAATTTGGTCTTTTTGGTATTAATCTCTAATCCTATTCGCTTACTGTATTCTCCGATTATAGTGACAAGTTATTGAAGATCGACTAGGTTGTCACAAATTAAGACACCATCAGCAGCATATCGTATGTTGTTGATCAATACTCCCTTCACCTTGATTCTCATCTCTGCATCCTCCAAAGATTCTTGAAATGTGGCTTCCGAATAAATGTTAAATAAAAGAGGAGAAAGCACACATCCCTGTCGAACGCCTCTTCTTATATGTATGGGTTTGGATATAGAATTGTCTATTTTTAACTGTGCCGTTTGATGCCACTACAAGTTTTCAATGCATCTTATGTCTTTTTGGTCTATTTGATGATCAACTTTCTTGAGAATCTGCATTAACTTGTGGTGTTGGACACGATCAAACGCTTTTTGGTAATCTAAAAAGCACAAGAACACATCCTTCCTCTGATCGTAACAATTTTGGACCAGCACATTTGTTGCTACTATTGCTTCTCGTGTTCCTAAACCTTGCCTAAACCCGAACTGGGAATCACTGATGTCCCATTCACATTTTTTGTATAATCTTTGATGTAGTAATTTAAGAATATCTTTAAAGTGTGATTCGTCAGGCTAATGAGTCTGTGATCCTCACATCTTTTTGCATTGACTTTCTTGGACAGCGGAATAAAGGTAGAGCGTAACCACTGTTGAGGATAGCAGCCAATTTCATAAATTAAATTAAATATTTTGTGTAGTGCTGAAATTCCCCTTTCATCTAGTAATTTGAGTATTTCTGACAGGATTTCATCTGGTCCAGATGTCTTATTGTTTTTTGAATTTAATATTACCTTTTCTATCTCCTCTTTGGTGATTAAAGGGCCAGTCAGCTAGTCGTCTGTACAAACTTCACTTATGGGTCTTTCGTCATGAAAGAGCTCATGGATATAATTTTCCCATATATCAATTTTTTCCTTTTCACCCAGCACTATCTGGTTATCCTGATTAACTATGGTAGTTGGTTTTCGTTTTCTGTATATTCCAGCAGTCTCCTTAAGCTTTTTATGTAAATTACGGTCGTCGTGCTGTCGTTGTAAACGTTTTAAATCGATACATTGTTGCTTAAGCCATTCATTTTTTGCTATTCTTATTTTTGCTTTTATTTGCCTGTTAATGTTTTCAAACATACTGCTGCCATCTTGGTCATTCTTGTATCTTCGTCGTTCTTTCATTAGTAATAGTATTTCTTCTGTCATCCATTTTTGCCTCTTGTTATTTCGTTTGTACCCTAAGTTGTTTTTCATGATGTCTGTTACAGCACTTGTAAGCGTATTCCATGTTGGTGTTAGATCTTCGGTAATATTTGTCCTCAATATTTGAATTTGTGCCTTTATTTCATTGCTTATTTCTGCTTGTATCATTGGGTCTTTCAGTTTATCCAATGCTATCTGTTGTTTGAGTTTAAAATAATTTACCTAGTTAAAAGTACAACAATGAAATAAGTCCACTTACATCATAGGTGGAAAGATATTCAAAACCATAAACATTGATTCCTGAACTAAGAAAACTAATGGTAATTAAAAAACATTAAGAACATTAAAAACAATCAGCTTGTCTTATATAAACAAATGGAGCACATTGAAAGATGTAAAACATGAAACCAAGTAAAGTAAACAATCTAGGAGGAAAAAGACCAAGAAGATCAGCTAGATTAAGTAAGCAGTTTATTTAGAAATTAGAAAAAGGAACCCAAGGAAAAACTATGGAATAACAGGTCTAAAATTTGAAATTGGAAGACGTCGGAGAACATTGTAAAGCGATATATAATACTATATTTTTTAAAAACACTATATAATATTATAGAGAAAAACTGTTACTCTTACTTTAGTTGAACCACTTATAAAACCGAATTAGATAAAAAAATGTTTAAATAGCAGATCGTAATTTATTACCTTGACAGCAAGTTTTCTGTGGTGTTGAAAAGTAACCCCAGTTCATATCTGTTCGTCGCAAGTTAGCGATTAGTTGTGGAATCTCGCTAAATTTGTTTGATTTTCCTCCAGCCTCCAAGAGTAAGATCCTCCACGAGTAAACTTCTGATAATCTGTTAGCCAAAACTGCACCAGCAGCACCTGCTCCAATGATAATAAAGTCGTAGTCTTCATATTCTAAAACCAAAAAATATTTTAATACAAATTTGTTTTTTGATGACTGAAAACTATATAATTATATTATAATTATAATTTTGAAAAAAATGTAAAAAGCCTATGTTACAAATTTAAATAATTTACATACTGACAGTAAATAGTTTTTAAATATTTGCATTATTGCTCAAAATAGTACTGAGAATATCACTTCATAAGGTACATAATTAGTGATCAAAAACACACACAGTGTTTTTGATATTTGGTAAAAAAGTAACACATTTAACATAATGAGTTGCAGGATTATTAAAATTTTATAGTTCAACAGAAACATTAATTTAAAACATTTAAAACCTTCTTGGTTTTGCCTATTTTGTTTATTCAAAAACTCGGAAGTTTAATTGTTTTTAAACGACAACAAGAAAACGAGAGTGGCATGTGCTTCCTTTGATAAATTTAGCTACATATTGAAAAATAAAAACTATATTCAATATCTAAAACAAACTGTTGCACCAGCTCATTCTTTGTTTCCTAATATACCAATGTCAAACTTAAACATTTTCAAGAGCTTATATGGATATAATAACAAAGACAAAGATAAATGTAAAGACAAATGATACACATACGACAGTTAGATACAAGGAAGAATACCTGGATACGAAACATGAGAAAATTTACAAATACTATCAGGCAAGTGGCAAAACTAAAGTCGAAATTTGCCATTTGGTCATACTATTAGATAAAAAGATGGAAAATAGACTAAGATTATTACAGATAGGAGACCATAGGGATAAAAACAAAAACCGGGAAGACCACAGATAAGGTGCATGGATGACCTGAAACGTTGTGCTGGTATGTATACCTGGGACACTTAATACATAAATCTGACTCCTTACTTTCAGAAATCAACAGAAGAATGAAACTAGCTTGGACATCTTTTGGTAGAAATTCAGTTATATTCAAATCGAAGATGCCAATTTACCTGAAGAAAAAAGCCAATCATGTCATACGGCTGCGAAACTTGGACACTAAAGAAAGAAATAATATCGAAACTCAAAGGTCAATGGAGCGATGTAGGTATAACAAAGAGAGATCAAAAAAGAATAGAATGGATCAGACAGAAAACCAACGTTATTGACGTAATCCATAGAATTAAATCATTAAAATGGCAGTGTGCTCGTTTAGCGAAAAGAACTGATAATAGGTGGTACACTAGAGTTACACTGTGGTGTAAGAGGCGTTAAGAGATTAAGAAGACGTCCAAATTGAAGTTGGGACTATGAAATAAGGAAACAAGCCGGTACCACGTGGCACAGAAATGGCGAATGTTGGACAATCGCAAGCAGATATGAAAAATAAATATGTAAGGTAGGCTACACTATAATCGGTAGAATATGCTAAAAAGCAATATGGAAGCTATTTAAATGTTCATTGTAGTTAATATGTTGCATACTACGAAATTATTTAAGTAAATAACACTGTAGTCGTTTAAAAACTATTAATAGCTAATAATCAATGAAAACCAATAAACATACCCATAAATGGTTAAAATACCATTGAAAAATAGAATGTGGTAATTATGAATTTTAAAATTTATATGTATATATACAGGGAACGCCAAACCTCCGGTTTTCTTTTGTAACGCCAAAAATATGGAGTGTATAAAAATGTTGATAAGAAAAATATTGTATATTAAATGGCAAACTGTACAGACAGCCATGTCAAAAGCGGCGGAAAAGTATTATAAAAAGAGGGCATATAAAAAGACGGCGTGGCTGGTTCGATGAAAAATGTAGGAATGTTTTGGTAAGAAAAAAACAGGGCAAAACTACAAAGAGATAAAGAAAATACCCAAAATTCGATCGAAAACTATATGACAAGAAGAAGAGAAGTGAAAAAAAAATTGCAGAAAAAAGAAAAGAGAACAGCTAGAAAAGCAATTGAAAAACAGAAGAAACCTACATAAACAAAGAGGTAAAGAATTTCTACCAATCAGTTAAGAAATCCAGAGAAACTACAAAGAATAATCTGTGATAAATTTGAAGCTATAGATCATGTTAATAATACAAAGCACAAATTAGACCCTCGAGTACAAAATGAAGCCGTTCAAGTGGCGATAATGTGTCATTAACAAATGGATAATCGACAGTCTATCAGACAACTATCTCGTGCATCTGATATTCTAGATAGCTTCTAGTATTTATTGAATTTATTATAAAATCCAATAAATTTCACCCTTATACAATATGAATACTTCATCAATTTAACGAAGATGATCCGAATTGTCGGCTTCAATTTTGTGAAGAATTTAGTAAAATAATAAATACCAACCAATATCGATTGTACAGTACGTGTTTTTCCAACGAGTGTATTTTTACGGCAAATGATAAAGTAAATAGACATAATTGTCGTTATTGGATTAACAGTAATGCTCACTTATTCATAATGACACATACATAAACACCTCAAATATTTAATATCTTCTTCTTCTTCTTCTTCAAGTGTTATCTTCGTTCCGAAGGTTGGCGGTCATCAGGGAAATACGTATTTTCGAAACTGCTGACCGAAACAATTCGTTGTTGCTACAGCTATACCATGCCCGTAGATTCTTTAGCCAGGAGTTTCGTCTTCTTTCTATGGAACTTTTTTCTGCTATTTTCCCTTGCATAATTATTCGAAGCAGTTCATATCGTTCGCCTCTTGTAATGTGTCCCAAGTATTGCAGTTTTCGTTTTTTGATCGTAAATATGACTTCCTTTTCTTTATTCATTATTCTCAAGACCTCGACATTTGTGACTCTCTCGATCCATGATATGCTCAGGATTCAGCGATACATCACAGTTCAAATGCCTCTATTTTTTTGGTATCAATCTTTATCAACGTTCATGACTCGATTTCGTAGAATAGCACAGAAATTGCTGTTTAAATCTCTTCCGCAAAACACGCTTTTCATTTTAGTGAATATGGATCTGGCTTTTTCTATTCTTATTTTGATTTCTGCTGAGCTATCGTTGTCTTCATTTATAAAAGTGCCTAAATATTTGTATGAGCTAACTCGATAGATAATTTCATTGTGTAAATATAAATTTTGGACATTTTGTGTTGATTTCGATATTACCATAAATTTAGTTTTCTTTGTTATAAAATAATCATCATAAATGTTCAAAGATAGTCCATATTCTTCGCTGCAGTCTGCTATCTTATTCACCAATGTCTGTAGTACATATTTGCTATTAGTCGGATGTCTCGTTTATCTAAATTCTTTTGTGTCAGGAGTTTGATTAGGTGATCATGCCGCACTTTATCAAAGGCCTTGTTGCAATCTATGAAACACATGAATACATCTTGATTTATGTCAAGACATCTTTGAGACATAACGTTCAGTGCAAACAACGCCTCTCTTGTTCCAAGTCCATTTCGGAATCCAAACTGGGTATTATTGATGTCCATTTCCAGTTTTCTGTGTACTTTAGAGTTTATAATTTTCAGAAATAGTTGCAGTACATGACTGATCAGAGACAGTAGCCCTTACCAAAAAATCTGCTAAGAAATTAGAAACAACATAAAGAGCAATGGAACGAATCATGCTTGTAGTATCACTGAGAGACAAGATTAGAAACACCAAGATAACATGTAGAACGAAGGTTAGGGATATTGTGTAAGTAATTACAAAAATAAAATGGCACTGGGTAGGTCACGTATGACGTAGCCCGATATAATGACAACAGGTGGACACGGAGAATTCTAGGATGGAGACCAAGGACGACAAGAAGCAGCATGAGAAGACCTCAAGAAAGATGGGTAGATAACATGAGAGCAGTGGCAGGCAAACAGTGGATTAGATTGGCGCAAAATAAAGAAAGATGGAAGCAATTGGGAGAGACTTACATTCAGGAGTGGATGGAAAATGGTTGACAAAAAGAATAAATAATCTGTAAAAACGTAAAATCTATAGCTCTTTTCTAAATATCTGCAAAACTAAACACGCTATGTATACACAACCTTATATAAAAAAGGATGTAATATTTTCTACAAAATATAATACTAATATACAGGATGTTTCATTAAAAAAAATTAGAAAAGTGTAAATATTTCGAAAATTAGTACCTTTAGACTTTTAAAATCTTATACAAACTCTTCTCTTATATTTAAGAAAGACATAATAATGCTTTAATATATAGAATATTTCATTTTAAAAATTAAAATTTTTGTTCAATCCGTTGTTCTGACTAACCCTGTATAATCCAAAATAATTTTACGTCTTTATAGAAAGCTAGAGGTTTGGCACAGCCTGTATATATGTTTGATATGTATGTTATTATCAATATTTTATTGCATAAAAAAATCTTACCTACAACTTTATCATTTGTAATAGTAAACAAAGCGGAATTATCGACTGGAGCCTGATAAGACTGTACTCCTGCTAGTACACTTTGTACCTCATTATAAAGATTATCTAACTCCGTATCGGCAGCACATAATGCTAAAGCGTAAACTAAAAAAAATATTATACTATACTTCATAGTGAAAATAATTTGCTACTAATTTCTTATTTGGTAAAGAAGTACCAAACTAGAGGTACTATATAAACGAAATATTATCAAATTTATGACTAAAACCATAGACGTACTACGTCTATTATAATTACGGATACCGTTTTTACTTGATATTTCTTTTTTTTATAAATATTTTTTTCAGTTTTTCCACGAATATTCTTCTTCTTCTTCTTCAAGTGCCATTTTCGTTCCGAAGGTTGGCGATCATCAGGACTATACGTATTTTCGAAACTGCTGACCGAAACAATTCGTTGTTGCTACAGCTCTACCATTCCCGTAGATTCTTTAGCCAGGAGTTTCGTTTTCTTTCTATGGATCTTTTTTATGCTATTTTCCCTTGCATAATAATTCGAAGCAGTTCATACATTTCGCCTCTTGTAATGTGTCCCAAGTATTGCAGTTTTCGTTTTTTGATCGTAAATATGACTTCCTTTTCTTTATTAATTCTTCTCAAGACCTCGACATTTGTGACTCTGTCGGTCCATGATATTCTCAGGATTCTGCGATACATCCACAGTTCAAATGCCTCTAATTTTTTGGTATCAATGTTTTTCAACGTCCATGACTCCATTCCGTAGAAGAGCACAGACAGTACGTAACATCTCATCTGGCGAAGTTTCATTTCAAGGCTCAAATCTCTTCCGCGGAATACTCTCTTCATTTTAGTGAATATGGATCTGGCTTTTTCTATTTTTATTTTGATTTCTGCTGAGCTATCGTTGTCTTTATTTATAAAAGTGCCTAAATATTTGTATTTGCTAACTCAATCGATAATTTTATTGTGTAAATATAAATTTTGGACATTTTGTGTTGATTTCGATATTACCATAAATTAAGTTTTCTTTATGTTCAAAGATGGTCCATATTCTTCGCTGCAGTCTGCTATCTTATTCACCAACGTCTGTAGCTCTTCAAGTGTTTCTGCGATCAGAACGGTGTCGTCAGTAAATCTCAGATTGCTTAATCTTACACCATTTATTTTAATACCGACGGATTGCTCAGAGAGTGTTCTATTCATTACGTCTTCGGAATAGAGATTAAACAAGGTTGGTGACAGTGGACACCCTTGTCTCACACCTCGCTTTATTTCAATTTCTTCAGTGGTATTATTCTCTACTCTCACTACTGCTTTCTGATTGCACTACATATTTGCTATTAGTCGGATGTCTCGTTTATCTAAATTCTTTTCTGTCTGGAGTCTGATTAGGTGATCATGCCGCACTTTATCAAAGGCCTTGTTGTAATCTATGAAACACATGAATACATCTTGATTTATGTTAAGACATCTTTGAGAACTAACGTTCAGTGCAAACATTGCCTCTTTTGTTCCGAGTCCATTTCGAAATCCAAACTGGGTATTATTGATGTCCATTTCCAGTTTTCTGTATACTCTAGAGTGTCTAATTTTCATGAATATTTTCATTACATGGCTCATCAGACTGATTGTACGGTAATCACTACATTGTTTGGCATTTATCTTTTTAGTATAATAACAAAGGTGGATAAAAGCCGTTCTTGTGGTATTTTTCCTGATGTATAAATGCTATTGAAAAGTTCAACTAAAATGTGAATCGAGTCTTTTTCTATTATTTTAAGGATTTCCGTTGGTATTTTATCTGGACCTGAGGCTTTACTATTTTTCATTGTTACTCCTTGTATATTACTTAGCTCAAATTGTTGTCTATCATCTGCAAAGAGTTCTTCAATATAGTTTTTCCATGTCTTCAACTGTTCATCTAGTTCTGTTATTATGTTTCCGTTGACATTATACAGGGTATTTGGCTGCTCACGTTTTTGTGTATCTGCAAGTTCTTTCACTTTTTTATGTACATTAAAAATATCATGTTTTGCGTGTAATTGCTCTATTTCTTCACATTTTTTTTTATAAAAATCTTTTTTTGCTATTATGATTTCTATTTTGATTTCTTTCTGTATTTGTTTATACCTTTGTTCGTTTTTTCGTTTCATTAGTCTCCGATTGTCCATGAGAAGAAGGATCTTATCAGTAATCCACCTTTGCTTTATTTTTAGTTTTTCTTTAGTCAGAATTTTCTTCGCAGGACCTGTTATCGCCATTTTTACATTTTGCTATTTTTTATCTATGTTGTTCATTAGCTGAGATGTTTCTTTTTCATGAAGTATTTTCAAATTATTATTAATACATTTTTGCAGTTTCTCCTTTACCTTCAGGCTACATAAATGACTGACGTCTATCTGATTTGCTCTTCTTTTCTACTCCAATTTTTTTAGTTTAATACTCATTTGCGCTATTAGAGGGTTATGGTCTGAAAAGACATCTGCGCCTGGGTAAGCTTTATCGGATTTTAAGGAGTTTCTGTATCGTTCGTTTATCAGTAAAAAATCAATCTGGTTTCGAATTATTTTTTCGCCGTTGTCCTGGGGTGATTTCCACGTATAAAGTCTTCTCTTTGGTAAATTGAAGAATGTATTAGATACAATCATGTTATTCTCCTGGCAGAATTGAAGTAGTCTGTCACCTCGTTCATTTATTTTACCGAGTCCGTATTCTCCTACATGTTTGCCACTTTTTCCTTTACCAATTTTTGAGTTAAAACCACCTAGAATTAGGGCCATCCATAAGCAGTTAAATATCGATAATCTGTCAAATTTACGTTGACAGTCTTTAGATACTACTATGTTATCTTTCATATATTTTAACTTCTTTTCGTTTATTTGTAATCCAAATTATTTCACTTCAGCCTCCAGTTCCTTAATTATATTGGCCACACTAGTGTTACAATAATACGTACTTATGTCATTTGTATCAACTAACAAGAATAGGTATACGGACGATACTGCTCTAACAGCAAAAGCCTCCACGACTTTCAAAGTGTAATGAACAAGATAGCTGAGTATAATGAAGAATGTGGACCATCAATAAATATCAAGAAAACTTAATTTATGAGGATATCAAAATACAAAATATTGCCGTTCAAGAACATTTAAATAATCAATTTAATGTGTGAATCGGCAATAAGGGTACCAATACATGGCCATCAAATAGTCCCAACTTAACACCATGTGATAGCTTTTTATGGTTGTTTTTAAAAGAAAAAGTGTATTTTGATTCAAATACAAATATTAACACTATCACAGCAAACGTTCGCGAGGAAATTGAAAATTTAAATGGTCATAATAACACAATGTCTGACGCATTAGAAAATTTGAGACGAAGATATTACTTGTGCATTGATAGCAATGGAGGGCACTTTGAGCATCTATTGTAATGTTAAATGTAGTATTGTATCTTGAATGTAGTATTGTAAGTCATTAATTTTGTTGACTTGTATAGTAGTAGTAGTCTGAATACCTGATAATTAACGGTAATAAGTAGAAAACTACAAGTACTATCTTGGAACAATAATTAAACACACAGAAGATTACTGGTAAGAAATTAAAGTTAGAATAGAAAAAACACGAACAAACTTAAATTAATTAAGGACGCTACTTAGTACAAGAGAACTGAAATAAGATTTGAGATAGCAAGGTGCTAATATTTTCGAATATGCTCTACATAATGGAAGCATGGGACCTTAATAGGGCTACTATTAAAAATTTGGAAGCACGTGAACTGTCTGTATATAGAAAAATCCTAAAGCTATCATGGACCGAGCATGTAACAAACAAAGAAGTCACGAGAAGAGTTAAAAGATGAAAATAAACACTGGAAACCATCCAAAAATGAAAGCTATTATACCTGGGGCATTTATGCGTGGTGAGGGATATGATGTACTTCAATTGATTAAACAAGCAAAAATTCAGAGTAGGGAAGTATCAGAACGATAATAATCTCATATCTGCGTAATTTAAGGGAATGATGTAGACGCAACCAAGCTCCCAACTTCCGTCGGGGAGATGTCTCGTAAAGAAAAAGAGGAACCAACTTCATCTGTGTTTACTAAAATGAATCAAAGGAACCATATTGTATTTTACAAAAGAAAACTATATACTTATACTTAGTGTTGTTGACTTATTGCCTATGCTTATTGCTGTAGCAGTTTTCCGTGTACTGATATCTGCTTTTAGTGTTAATACAATTTTAAAAACAAAATTTTCTCATTTAGAATGTAATTACGATTACAGGGCACAATTATTATGGTACATATGTGCAACGAACCACAGGAGAATAAAGTACCGTATTTTGAGGTTAGTTTGCCATTTACATATAGGTCCATGTCATGTTTGTTGAAAAGTCTCTGGCCAGAAGGAAAATTAAAATTGCCTGAAAAGCTCTTAAAGATATCGTATCATTTCTTCATTTAATTCCGAATGATTGTATAAACTTTGAAATTAATTGAAATACTAATATATTACATTATATTGAAATTGAACAACAAAAACGTATTAATTTTTTCATTATACTAGTATGTATTGTCATAATAATTATTTTCATTACATATTTTAGGTCAGTTTATATTTTATTTTTAAGCTTTAAAATATTGTTAGATTTGCCTTTATTTTTTACTTCTTCTTCTTCTTCTCGTGCCACTCCTGGCGGAGATTGGAAATCATCATGGCCACTGCGACTTTGTTAGCAGCGCGCCTAAAAATTTCAATCGAACTACACCCGAACCATTCACGTAGATTACGAAGCCACGATATTTTTCTTCTTCCCACACTTCTTTTGCCCTTAATTTTGCCCTGCATCTTTTTCTTCTTCTTTCAGTGCCTATTCGTTCCGAATTTTGGCAATCATTCTGGCTATAATTTTTTTATTAACTGCTGCTTTAAATAAATTCGTTGTTGTTGTGGAGAACCATTTCCTCAGGTTCTTCAACCATGATATTCTCCTTCTTCCAATTCCTAGCTTTCCGAATACTTTACCCTGTAGGATTACCTTCAGTAATCTGTATTTAGTGCTGTTTCTCATTATATGTCCGAGATATTCCAACTTTCTCCTTTTAATGGTATACATCACCTCTCTTTCTTTGCCCACTCTTCGTAATACGGTCTCGTTGGTTATCTT